GGGGGGGGAATCAATGAATATGTCCGCATGTCCCTATGGTGGCATGGATGTCTAACTACTGCTAGTAGAAAAACATCCGAAGGAGTAAGTCAGAGTGCAGGCACTGACAGGGTGTGTCGGCGCCTTACAGGGAAGCATCAAAATGAGCAGTTGAAAAGGTAAGCAGAGCTAGTTTTGCTGGCTAGGCGGAGGAGATGGGAAGTGACTGAATAGTATTAATTTCTCATTTTTATTTTTGCTTGAAACAACTGTGTTTGCTTGAATCAATTTGCCTTTTCTCCCCTTTCCATAACATATAGTTCTGTAATATTTTGCAGTATAAAAATGCCATCAATACATGCAAACATTTTCAGAGTCCATGTGATAGGTTGTTGGAGAATAAGATCAGAATGGAATACTGTGATAAAAGCCTTTCACTTGTCACTTTCTAGCTTTGTCTGTTGCAATGTTTTATCTTAAGTAGCTCTTCAGACTTTAGAGCTGGACTTGCATCCTCCTGCTTTTAGAGCAGAGTCTCGAAAATAAGGAATCGTTTGGATAATTGCAACAAAATTGGACACAACCACTCAGATAACTGTGAGGGAGACTGGCATGGCCATCAGGAGTTTTTATTAGTAGGCTAACTGACCTGATTATTTCTGCTATGTAAGTCAGTTTATTTTCAATACCCTGGTCATCAGTGCTTAAGATGTTTTGTCACATTGGTCAGTGCTTTGGTGTACAGCAAATGCACAGCACTAAGGGGCAAAATGAGGCAAGAGTGTGGGGCAGGTCTTGAAGTGCAAATGGTAGGATACCAAGACCCTGCTTATTTTTTCCATACTTTCTTGAAACATGTAAGACTTGTATGTAGAAACCAGAGAGGTGTGCTCTGTTGATTTAGATATGGGTTTGAACTAATTCTTTGTGCTCTGAACTCTTGTGATTAAGAACTAGGATCACTTTGGCTGTGCTTATAGTGGGATTGGTGGTCTCTTAAGTGAATGAGTGAGTAGACAACCAGAGATGACGGATGGAATTTCAGCAGTGCTCCTCTTTTGATGCTATAATAGTAAGCAAGCTAAATAGATTATTATATCTTAAACAAGTACATTTCAACATTTTTTTTGCATTGTTCTAGCGATGTAAAATAGCAATCGTAAGCCCACTGTAGCTGTTGATACTTTCCGATTGTTTTGATGTCCTAGAAGACGAGCCCGTAAAATTGAGGGCTTGTGGATGTTGTGCTCTGTTCCTTTTATTTGTTTAATTCTTGTTTGGTATCTCTTTCTTTTGAGTTTCAATGTTTGTTCTATTCATACATGAGCTACAAAAATTCTGAGGTAGAGTATGTGAGAGTGTCAAGGTTTCCAATGGATAGAAGAATAAAAATTAAGTTATAACATCAATTTAACACCAATTTAACAATGGCTATAACCATCTCTTACCATAACAGTAACCAATATCTAATTTTGCAGTGTCCTGTCCACACAGGTAGCAGCCCAATTGACAGTTCAAAGTAAACAGTATGATGTGATGAAATCGTGGATCTTCTGTGCTTGATGAACTCTCTGGTATTTAATGTGGTCACTGTCTGAACAAAGGGTGGTTTGTTTCTGACCAGCTATTACAGTGATCAAGGATGATAGAAGTATTAGAGCAGTTTCCCCCGGTGACAGAGATCAGTGGTCACTGTATCACCTCAGTGCTGGGATCCCTGTAGCTGCTGCCCTTGTAGATGCTTATTCATGAATTGGATTTTTCTTCTTATTGCCTGGATTATGACCCATTCTAATTATGTAACCTCAAGCTTTTCATCCCTTACAGGTAGGCTCAGGAAAGTGGTTTGTGGTTTGTTTGGTTTTTTAAACGTCATTTTGCTGTCTTACTTGTATATGACTTTAATTTTGCTGTGAGGTTTCAACTTCTCTTCCCTTTGAAAGAGGGATATTTTTTTTCAATGTTTTTCTCAATCCATGAGAAATAAAGATCCTTTCCTCTGGTCTGTCCTTTCTGCCTATCATACTTCATTATCCACCTCAGTTAATTTACATGTCTCTTCCTGTTTGTTTTTTTTTCTCCTTGAGTTCTTTTCTCTGTGTCAAATTCTGTCTGCTTTGAACCTTTTCTGTTCACCCAGTTTTCCCAACTATTTCTGTCCCTTACTGTGATTTTTGTCTCTTCCCTTTTTCAAACCAAGGCCTGTAGCCTCTCACAGTCTTGGCACTAAATTCTTTGTTCACAATCTGTATTTTCTTTCCTGTAGATCTATTTCGTCAGTTGTATAGCTTCTGCTTTAGCTTTCTAATCTGTTTATCCCTTTCCTATGTGAACAATTTATTTCCCTTAGAAAGTGCCAAAACCATCATGAATAGAAGAAAACTCCATGAATTTTGAGACTAAATTTAGAAAGAACATTTTACTGCTGCTTTTGGAGGGTCATTCTTTAAAAACTTTATCTTGTAACATTGAAAACAAATCTCGTATTCATAGGGAAATTACTTTAACTCAAGTTTTCTGAGATGCTATGGCCTCTCTGTAGATAGTTACCATGTAACAGCACGTGCATGCTTTCTCTTGCTTCCCCATTGCAAAATGTATGTGGTTTTGTGTTATGGTAAATATAGATTGACATAAAAATAGCTTGCCCTTAATAGGTAAATGCAAAGCAACCTTTGGTTTTTAAATGGTAGAAGGGTAGAAGAAAGGTTGTACTACGTTTGAGTAAATGTGATACATCGGATTCTGGTCAAACCTCTTCAGTCCCTACTTCCCTGTGTTTTCTCCACTAGTGTCTAGTACTCCCAGCCTGGTCACATAAGTTTATCAATCTTTGTCATTGTCAGAGAATGTATAGTCTTTATGTTGGTTTAAAAAAGATTCCTTTTTGGTCTGGACAAGTTGATTCATCCTTTTCTCCCCACCCTCCCTTATCTGATGGTCTCTGTATTTATCACCCTGGCCTTCAGTTTATTTCAAATCTGATCTTACTGCATAGAGGGCATAGCTCTTTTGCTTTTAAGGAAGCAGATCTTCCCCCTTTCAAGCATCCATTATGCAGATTGGAATAGAGCCAGGTTTGTCTGTTCTACCTGTTTATCTTATTAACTCTTATTGCTAGAGAAAGGAGTAAGCAGGGAGAATGGCTCCTCTTTTCTCTCATTTAGAGGCAGCATGTGCCAGTAGGAATGCTTCAGAGCACTCTTCCCTTATGCAGACCTGCAAAATAGAAGATGCCTAACTACCACAAGACTCTTTTTTTCATGGCATGAATGAGAGAGTTTCCAAAGGGTCAGCATTAGCGAATATAATTTCTACTCTTTATCAAGGAGTTGGAAGAAGACTGAACTGAGATTGAGGATATAATTCGGTGTTTATTTCTCCCTTCTGTATTCAGAAGCATATAAGAAACAACATAATTCTCGTTACATTTTAAAGACTAAGCTACAGTAGCTCAGAAGCTGTTCAATTATTCCATCTGCTGGAGTAAATTTCAGTCAAAGAAGGAGGTTGGATGTCTGGGGGAGGTTTCCACATCAACCATCTGTTGTTGCTGGTGCTTGAGTCAAAGCCCACAATTGTCTCCCTTCTTTCCCTTCAGCTCCCCCGCCCTTCTCCCTCCCCACCCCCCCGCATGGAGTTTAGCTGCTGGTGCGTCCTTGGGGTGGAGCCACAGTTTTGCTCCTTTTCACCTATGCTAGAAAATAAGTTTTGTTCCCTGTATCCCCTACCCAGTTTGGGATCAGGTGATGCATGTAGCTCGCAGAGGGGAGTAAGTTGACTCTTTATATTGCCTAATTTCCTTAAACATCTGTGCAATGCTATCTTTCATCTCTCTATGCTTTCTGTAGTGCATGTCTTGTAACTGTTTTTCTTTTTGGCACAGAGTTCAGTTTTCTTCCTAAATCCTTTCTGTATAATGGTGATCTTATTTACAGGCAAAGTACTTTAACTTTTCTAGGCCTTTTCAGTAGCCAGCATGGTAGCAAGCATTTGTAACATCTGAATGATGATGTTTTTTAGCTTTTCCTCCTGAAGGAGGAACAAAACAATTCAAAAGAAAAACTTCTCTAGGGTGACAGCTTTGGCGGCTAACTGGAATGCTGAAGATCAGAGCTGCTTTGTCAATTGAGGAAAAAAAAAAAAAGGCTCTGAAATGGGATGACTTAACTCCTTTGGTAAGAGGAGACCAAAAAGAAAAACTAGAGCAATTAAGCAGTCGTGCAACTCGTATTCTAGTGTTTGTGTTTGGTGACATTGCAAAGAATGAATATATAAAAGTTTTTCCTGAATGTGAGTACACAGTGATGTTACAGTTGGGCTAAAAGAAGCTATCTGTCCAGTCTTGCTTTGTCAATTGAGGTCTGAACTGTGCTAGATAGATTTATTTTAGATAATTTTTAGATACATCTGTGCAGTTCAAAGAGAAGATATTTCATATTCTAAATCAAACAATTAAAAAAAATAAAATGTAATTTATAAGGTTCCTTTTATCATACAGAATGACATTATAAGAAAGAAGGTCCAGAATAACAAAATGAAAAATGTTTTCCCTGTTCCTATCTGGTATTACCTTACTCATTAATATGCTAGTCTGTGAACTTAAAAACTCATTAAATATGGATATTTGTGAGTTTTGGTATTGGCAAATCCCTTTTTTTGTCCTTGCTTGCAGTTGATTAAATGTGTAAAGTATTTCATATTTCCTGAAACGTGTTTTCCAGTGCTTGTGGATAAACTGTTAACATAAGTCTAAAAGCCTTTTGCTGTTGTGAACAATTTACACAAAATTAGAGCTTAAACTGATAGAAGTACAGTTACATTTGTGAATGTAACTTCAAAGTGTCATTTACTCTATGCATCTACATGTGTTTGGAAACATTGCTGCATTCTTTTGTGCAGAAAGGTTTTGATTTTTTTAATTATAAGATTTTGCTATTTCCATTCTATGGTAGAATAAAACACATTTCTCTTACTTTCATACTGTAAACAAGTGAATTGTAACTGTAGTTTCAAGTTTCACCTTAGAAAACCTTTTTGCTATTTTGGCAGAGGGGAATATATCTTTTTGTCCACAAACAAACAGGTATTGAATCATTATCCAGATGATTTATTTGTAGGAAAGATTCCCTTTCAAAGTTATCTGGCACAATAGAATCTTGATAGGAATTAGGAGTCTGTTATACAAGTGCTGCTAGAATATGTTACCAATTTAAAGACATGAATATAAAATCCCCAAATATCACTCTTGCTTCCAGAGCAAAATATAAAGCACCTCAACTTAAAACACCACAGGAAAAATACACTGCTGTTCTGAAGTTATTCCAGCTCAGTCCCTGGCAGCCATACCATTGTTTCTCAGAGGCATACAGCGTGTCTGCACAGAATGGAGCAGCGTATTGAATTTCCTGTTCAGCATGGTTTTGTGGGTTGCACAAGTACGGCTTCATGAACCACATGTAACAACCGGTGCTTGCAATTGCAGAGCAAATTAATGTAGGAGTAGAGTTTTTGTTTTATTCTTTTCCTGGTTTAGTTTGACAGTAGCTGTTATACCACTGTCAATAATAGGAGTCTTCCATGGAAAAAGGAAGGTAGACATGAATTTTATAGTTGTTTTTAACAAGAAAATCTGACAAACAGCATTCACCAGAAACATAGGAGAACCAGTTTTAACTGGATTTCAGATTTATTTTTGGAAAAACTGCAGAGACCAGAAACAAATTATTTTAATTGTGACTATGTCTCAGAACATCTTGCATTTTGAGGAACTCTCTGAAAGTGGTAAAATCGGTGAGATTACACACACCCACAGTAGTTTAAATATACAAAAAGATACACAAGGCAGCTAACCAGTGATATTTGGTCCATAAAAACAGAAACTTGGCTTTCTTTCACAGATTATTTTTTTTTCATTACCTAACATTTTGGGGCTATTTATGACACCTACATTTCATATGAACAGTGAAGATTTGATAGAATGAAGCATTCTCAGCTTCAGTGTGTTTTGTAGTTGAGATGACATGAAGAGCCCTTATTTACAGGAGATAACATACAAAATTTTCACAACCTGAAGCAAAATCCTTTTCGTAGCTATTTTTTTCATCAAGAAAGCATGAGCAGCTGGGTGGGGGCGTGAAGAATGAGAGGAGTTTGGAACAGAATGTCTTGAGCATGTAAATGGTCATATTTGAGAGCAAGAAACAGCAGTCTCTTTCTGAGAAGGGTAGACTATCTGGACCATGCCTGTTACAACATTTGAAACAAGAAAAAATCATGTAAAGGTAAAATGTAAGAAAAGCAAAATTCCTTGGTAAAACACTACCTCATTTTAAATATGAATAAAGCTTGGAAGACAGGTGAAGACAAAGGACGGTGAACATTCCCAGGACTCATAGCCTCTGTTTTGCTATTGACTTTTCAACAGTGGAAGTTTTCTTACCATATGAGAAACTTGCTTGTTCCTTTTACCATTGCTAGGGGGTGCTTATGATGTACCATAAGAAGTAACAATTCCTGCATGAAATGGAATGAGCAGGTAGATTTGTGTGCATGTTAAATTCAGTTTGTAAAACTAAAGACTGAAGTGAGGTTCTGATAGAGTAATGTATCAGTGCTTTGACTTGCTTAGCATAGTCAGTTTTGGGTTTGTTTTTTTTATTCTTCCATCCCTGGGCCAATATCTGTGTAACCCATTTGACAGCTCTGAATACTGTTAATGAAATCAATGTTAAGTTTTGATTTTTGTTGATGTTGCAAACTTAGCCCTTTTCATTGCATGCTTATCTGATGTCTTCTGGAGACCTGCTAAATTTATAAGAGAAACTGTGCAATGAAGTTGTGAAGATGACTGTAAAAAAAGCTGCTGCTGGTAGAAAAATAAATAGTGAATCTTGCACAAACTATAAAGCTAGCTTTGATAGCTATATATTAGGGGAAGCAATTGTAAACTTTCTAATTGCAATTTATAGCATATAAATTAAGATTATTGAGAGTGCTAAGACAAGGAAGCTTTTTTCAGTCTTTAGCCAAGCTGAAAGCAAGTCTGGGGAGGTACTGTTAAAGCATTATACGTAACTGTTAAAACAATACAAATGGACCATAAATCTTGAATACATGTATTACTGATGAACACTGATGTAAATGGCTTATAAACAGGTGAAGTGCCAGAAGTACCTGTATCTTAATTTACTATGTGGAGGAAATGTAAAAGCAGGCATCCCGGAATAAAAATTACTTCTTGCCTGTAAATTTTGTAGAAAAATATTGTAGTTGTTCCAGCTTTACAGGTATTAAAATGAAGTATGAGTAATAAGCAGTTAATAGAGAGAAGTTCAAATTAATGTGAATAAAATAAAAAAACCAAACATTTTTAATAGTACAAAAACATACAGATTTTAAGAAATGGCATCGTTATATAGGGCATTTGTACTGACTATAGGTAATAGCTTTACATACCCTTAAAACAGGTTGCTGGAATACAAGCCAAGCATATACCTATAATTCAGCCTATTTTAACAGAATTCAAATTCAGACATTTTCATATCTTGTCATTTTTGTATCTCCATAAACAAATAGCATTCATAGCTCTTTCTTTTTAACATCACTATTGAATACACCGGGTTATTCTTAAGATTTACTGTTATTTTGCTAATTTTGTCATCTACTCTTCTCTTCGAAATAACAGCTACTAGAGAGTAGTTGGCTTGTGTACTTGCTCTTGTGATGAAAATGTGAGTACGTACTAAAATTTTGCAATTTTTTTGTCTTTCAATCTTCAGATTTCCTGTTTAAGTTCCTGGTCATAGGAAATGCTGGTACTGGAAAATCCTGTTTACTACACCAGTTTATTGAAAAGAAATGTAAGTATATGTGAGTACAGTAAGAGTTCTCCATTGCTTTGTACCACAGATGAAGACTGCCTACATGACTATCTAGTCTTTGTATGGGAGTTCCTGTATAGATTCTTATTTGTATAGATTAGGGTTTTGACTGAGAATTATGTTCAGAGCTGTGCTGGAAATCTTCATTTTTCACTGTTTCCCTCTAATCAAAAGCCTGATACTGAGCAGTATTCTCTATTACACTCAAATATAAAAGGATATTGACGAAAATACACTTACTTTTTGTGAGAATATATCTTGCAGCTATAAGCTTCACTAGATATATAGTAGAGACTTAGATCTTTTAGAAAAAATTCCGAGTAGGCAAAGTAAAAGTTGAATTGCTTGAGTAGATTCAGAAAGTCTGTTGGACAGAACTCAAATCTCCCAACATCTAGTCTCTTTCAAAACACATAGACACTCCATGTTCTTTTTTTAAGGACTGTGTTCTCTGATAAATACAATACTGGTAGAGACTCAGCTGTAAATGTTACTTATAGATGATATAAAAGAAAACTTCCTCTTGGGTGGTGCATTTAGCATCATTATTAAACAAAAATAATATGCATTTAGAAACCTTTGTAAATCTAAGGTGACTGTTAACTTTCTCAACTGAATGGTAATTCACCTTATCTCTTGATAAGCTCGAACAGCTCTAGGATAATGTGTAATCACCAGGGAACATTACATGATTCTATGATTGAGCTTGAGCTGTGACCTTGTTTCTTGTATGGGTAGTTGTATATTGCTGAGAATCTATGATATCAACAGTGTACATAGAGCAAATATCTTAACTTCATGCTTTAAAGAAGAAAAGCTCGTGCTTATTCATGGGCAAGACTGTCTTTTTGTGTTCTGCTTTTCCATGAATTTTTTACTTTAAATTGCATCAAAACATTAGAAAACACAGTTGGAAAAAAATGTACAGAAGTTGCCTTGCCATTTATTAATGGGAACTGGGAATTATTTTATTAAGGCAGGCTGTTCTAGTAGTAATTTTAAATTTAATAGGATGTTCAAAAATTGTAAGAATGTTGATTTCTGCATGGTGGCAGTGGGCTTATGACTGGCACTGAATTTGATGGCTCAGGAAGTAGTTTGTAATTTGAACACTGAGGAGTTTTTATATAACCTAAATTGGATTATGTAAAAACTAATTATTCACTCTAAATATTCTCCAAGTAAGTCTTGTTTGTTTTTTTTTTTTTTTAAAGTCAAAGATGACTCAAATCATACTATCGGAGTGGAATTTGGTTCAAAGATCATAAATGTTGGTGGAAAATATGTAAAACTGCAGATATGGGATACAGCAGGACAAGAGAGATTCAGGTACCCTTTTCAATCATTTTATTAAATGTTTAATATTAATTTGCTGCTGTGGGTGTTGGCTATTTTTCCTCTGCTTATAAGTAGGCATAGTTTCTCAGTCGGGGAGTTGTTTATCTGCTTTCATATTGTTAACTAGGCCAGATTTTCCAACTTGGACATAGCGACATAGATCCACTGACTTCAGTAAAGCAATGCTGCCTTGCAGGATCTGAGGTTCTGCCCTTAGTTTCATTGTGTATTTTCTCTTATAGATAAGGTAAACAAATAGAGTATGTGTTTAAAAGTTTGTTCACCAGCCAAACTCAGAATACTTTTTTTAACTAACTGTGTGCTTAACTCTGTGTTTAGAAGAACTTCTATTGGTTGGAATAACTAAATGCCATACAATTTCATAGCATAATATTATTTTGTTGGGGAGGGGGGATCAGTTGTCAAGTTCACTTGACTAAATACATTCTAGAAAGACTGAGATCTCCAAGTTTCTTAAAGAAAAAGCAGTGTATCTGTCAGCCAAATATTTAGAGCCACCAATGTACTTTTAATGATGTATTTTAACTGTGTCATACTTCTAAGGCATAGATCAAATTCAGTAGAGATGTAATGTATTTCTGAGTACATTCTCCATCAAAAGGACATAACTTGGGGCGGGGGCACGCCTGGTTTTTTTATTTTGGTGGTTAACAAAGGTGAGTAAGGTGGTAGAAGTCTGAGTCATGGGCAGCAATCCAGATAAATGTCCTCTATTAGAAATAGACATTGGATACATCTGTGACTAGGCAAAGCTGCAGTGCCATGTAGCCTCTATTAATGAGATCTCTCCAGTATGTTGGCCAGGTATCCTGGGTTTTTGAGAAGCTTGGAGGTTCTGTGCTTTCAGATGCTCATACAAATTCTGCGCTTTCAAGTTCAAAGTTTTCACAGACTTGCAGGTCCTTTTTTTTCCTATTGCTTTTTATAATCTATCTAATTCTTTTCTTTTTAAGGCTGATCACACCTCTGCATATTAGCAGTCTTTTTTTTCTTCTTCCTCTACCTTTTGAAGGATGCTTTGCTTTCCTTGCTTCTTTCTCTTCAACTTAATGAGTCTTAAATTGTTCAATGGCAGCTACTTTGCTCATTCTCGCCTCACTGCTGCGAGTTCAAACATAAGTTAATTATGCTGTGTTCATGCCACAGATAATCACCATCATCTTCCAGTTCTGTATTGGGACATACAGTATGATGATATGTGTAGCTTCAGCAGCACACAGATCATAATGGTCTTTGAGAATCCCTAAATAGCTATATTTAGCAAAAATACTTGGTAAAAAACCTAGTTGTCAATAGTCTGCACTTGCACGGCTGATAATGTTGTCTAAAAACCATTTTATTTAAAAATATGTAAATGAGAATTGTTTCATAATACAGACTACACTTTATTAACCCAGATTTGAAACAATGAAGATACTACAGAAATGTACACCTGTAATTCTATTTCAGGTCTGTAACAAGGAGTTACTATAGAGGTGCTGCAGGTGCTTTGCTTGTCTATGATATAACCAGGTAAGAAAGTTAGCAACTCTTTTGCTTATAGACTACCAGATACAATTAACACGTAATGATCCCCTCCAAGTATCTAATCCTTTAACAGAGAATAAGCAGGAAGAAAAGAAGACAAGTAAAAAGTATTTCTGTTTTAGTCCATATTGAAGTTCGGGAACTTGCTTACATGAGATACTGTGAATGTCTTAAATGTAAACAGTCTCAAAGGGTTAGACAAATACATGGGAATTGGCCCAACTGTAGCTGTTCTAATCACGGTGGACTACATGCAACCACTGACTCAAGAAACCTTGCAACAGAAACTAAGAGCAGACCTTAGCCACTTTTAACCAAGGTAGTACACCCGTGTTTGTAGAGACTGCTTATTAGTATGCTGGTATAACAGGCCATCCTCTGGAGAAGCTAGCTCTACCTTAACTATATTACTCATATTACTTAACTTTAGCTCTAAGTTCTGTTCATCTCTCCCTTTTTTTTTTTTTAGTATTATAAGCAGCCAGTGGAATACCTTACCGTTAAACATTTCCACATTTTTTTTTCCTGGCCACCGTTGACTGATACTTGTCAGATAACTTTCATGTTGGTTAATTCACTAGATCTGTTGCTTTTTGTCCTGTGAGTGCACTGTTCGCCTCTCAGCAGTCTTTGAAATCCGTGTTTTGTTCTTTAAGGTCAGTTGGACTCCTCCATCAGTCTTGCTGCTTGAAGGCTTTGTCTCTGACCACCACTACAATAACTAATGGTGTGTGCAGGGTAGCTGCCTGTGATCTTACTGGTCTTGACACAAATGTGAAACTTGAGGCACGCAATTCTCTACAAGTGTAGTAAAGTCTTACGATCCTAGCTGAAACTTAAGTATCAGTTGAATGCCATGTTAACTCATTCTCTTATCCCAAAATTTCATGCAGGAGGCTGAAACTAGATTAGTGCTTAAAATTTTAGCTTTTCACATTAACAGGGTATTTTATTATTGTTAGATTTATTTATATATTGTGGTTGATTTAATTTTGCTTTTTAAAAACTTTAAGTTTTTAAATAGTTTCATGAAGGAACTTGATACTCTTCCCAGTTCGTGGGTAGCTTACTGAGATGTGTAGGTGATTTGCCAGACTAGCAGCAACTTGTGGTTTGCCACAAATACAGATTTGCCTTCCGAGCTCAGTTATCTGTTCACTAGAAACGAGCGTGTTCTAATAAAGGATGTCATTTTCTACATAGCCGGGAAACCTACAATGCGCTTACTAATTGGTTGACGGATGCAAGAATGTTAGCAAGTCAAAATATTGTGATAATACTGTGTGGAAACAAAAAGGATCTTGATGCAGATCGTGAAGTTACTTTTTTAGAAGCATCCCGGTTTGCACAAGAAAATGGTAAGTAGTACAAAGTCTTCATGTAGCATTCAAAAATGCTTAACACTTAAAATAATGTATTTTTTGTGCTATTGGGAATACTTTGCCCACTGTACTTTGTCAAATACCTACAGAAAAGAGAGTTCTGTCAGTACATGAGGCATAGAGAGAGGACAGTGCCTGCAGTGAGAACTACATGTACTATTTAAGTCTCATTACCAGTGGTTCTTCCAGTTGCAGCTGCTACTTAAAGAATACTTTCTATGTGGAGATACAGTCCCTAGGAAATGTAATACACCTTCAGGTAATACCGTGCCTCCAAAGGGCTGAGGGGAGAACGAAGAGCACGATTTCCTAGTTTTCAGCATCTTATAGATTGTATAGATTATAGACAAGGTTGGATGGGGTGTGATGCAGTTGGAATCACTGAGTTTTACTCATGGGAATCAGAGTTCAGTATATGGCGTGAGTCCAGAGTACTATTACCTCGTCTGTAGTATTCAGAATTTCCAGTCTTGAGGTCAGGTTTCTGTCACAGCTAAAGCCAGTCTCAGTCTGACCTTCTGTGCTGCAGCCCTGCCATTAGTAAAATCTGGTTTTGCTTTTATAAATCAATTATAAATAGTCTTTTCTACCAGTTGTGGCTGCTGGCTGTCCTTTTGCAAATATTCCCACTTTCTATTAATGGGAAACTATATAAAGTTCTTTGGTTTCATGCACTATTTTGCATGCACAGCCCAGTGCATGCATATCTTGGAATCTTTGGATTCCAACTTTTCTAGGGTTAATGTATAAATTTCAAAGGAAGTTTTCTGTGGTTTTGCCATCAAAAGCTAATTTTTACGAACTGTACTATTTGACAATAGTTCTCCTTAAGAAAATTTTCATAGTTCCTAGCTTTCATGCTTTGAATTACTGCATCAGATATTCCAGACTTGTTTTGAAATTGTTTTTCTGGTGTCAAATGCAGAGCTGATGTTCTTGGAAACAAGTGCACTAACGGGGGAAAATGTTGAAGAGGCCTTTGTACAGTGTGCAAGAAAAATACTTAATAAAATTGAATCAGGTAAATTGGGATTTATATTTTTTTAATGTTTTTTTCCACCCTGAAAACTAAAAGTACACATAGAAATATCGCCAAAGTTCTCTAATAGAATTATCCCAAAGAAATAACATTTTATTGTGGTAAAATAACCCATTTCGTTTATAACTGCTTCCCATATGTTTTAATAGGAATGGACATTTAAGTCAGATCTGTATATCTAAAAGGGGGGGGTGGTGTAAATTACGTATGGTTTTACACATACATGTTTTGTCAGCTCTAAGTGTAGGCTGTGCATTCTGCGGCTTGTTATGTCCCTACAAATATCAAGCCTAACATTAGATGGTTTTTATTCTGCATTGCTAAAACTTAGTATCAGGGCAGATATAACTTTTAATTCTGCTTCTCTTATGTAGCAGGAAAAACAGTCAAGAGAATTTGAACGATAATACTGAACATTTCAGGGATGTTTCCTAGCAACTGTGTCTCTCTGAAGTGACCTTCCTGCCTCTCAGTTGAAACGATTTTGCAGATCTAGGAATATATAAGAAGCTTCTCGGCGCAAGTGGGCAGGTTTCTACCAGAGATAAGCTCCTAAGTGTTAGGTGTCATTACAGCAATTTGCATTCCAGTTTTCCTCTGTTATCTTCTGGTTGTTTGATATTCTTCAAATGTTTAAGTATTGGCTGTCCTGAAAAGTCTCCCTCAGACTCCAGTTATATACATCTTGAATGCCAAACACAAATTTTTAGATGAATATGGTATCTTCGTAGGAATTTCCTGATTACTACTTCAAGTCAATGCCAAACAGCAGCTTTCATCTTAAACAAACAAACAAAAAAAAAGGAACCAAAAAGCAAAGCATAGCTAGTTTCTCATGATAATGTAGTTCCATGACTGATTTGAAGAGGCATTACCACAACTGGAGTAAGTCAGTCCTGTTTTCTGTGAGCTGCTGCTGTTTGGTTTGTGTCATGCACTGAATAAGGGAAAAATTGAGACTGGAAAGAACTTGGGGAGGTCTCTAGTCCAGCCTCCTATTTAGAACACATTCAGGTTCCAAGTGAGAGCAAGTTGCCTGGGGCTTGCCAAGGCGCATTTTGAGATGCTCCAGGAACAGATTCCACAACAGTCCCTCTGGGCCATGTGTCCCAGTGCTACCCAGTTGCCTCTACCTACCTAGTCAGTCCCCAGCCTGTACCAAGTGCTTGGGCTTGTTCCATCACAGGTTCAGAGCTCTGCATGTGTAGTTGCTAAATTTCATGAGGTTCCTAGCAGGAACCTGTTCCTGTTCCTCTAGCTCACCCAACATCTTTTCTGAATGGCAGCCCTACCCTCGAGCTATCAACTGGTCCCCTCAACATGCTGGCATGTGCTAACTTACAGAGGGCACACATGTGTGCAGTGAATCTGAATAAGTGATCTGAATTGCTCAGAGGGTTGTATCTTGTTTGTTTGTTTGTTTTAAATAAATGTTTCTAATCTTGGCCAGTCCACGATGTAGCTGTAAGAATATTTCTGAAGGCACAGAGTCTGGAGTAGGCAGAAATGGATACCAGAAGTAAGGAAGGTTGAGATAATTCCTTCTGGGGGCAGTGCTTTATGGAATCCTACTGTCAAACTGATCCATTTTTGTTTGGCTTAGTATCTACTTTCTTTGCATATTAGTTTCCGAAAGCAGGTGTTTTTTTAACAGTGTTCACAGAAAACATTTTGGACATTTCCTTTGTTAGAAGTAGTTAGTACAAATACATTTCTTGTACCAGCCTAGCTCAGAGACAAACTGCTTTGTCATTATGATTAAGGGCACATGGTTGAAATTACAGTAGAAAATTATACAGGTTTGGAATTGCCTACAAGTAAACAGAGTTGGAATAGATCTCTCTATCACTAGAGTAGAATATCATTATGCATTTTTATCTAATGTTGTCAGTTAAATTGGAATGTATTATTTGCAAGTGATCCATCTTCTTGTGACCATTTTGTTTCTCATCAGGAGAACTGGATCCAGAAAGAATGGGCTCAGGTATTCAATATGGAGATGCTGCCTTGAGACAGCTGAGATCACCACGTAGAGCACAAGCACAAAGTGCTCAAGAATGTGGGTGTTAAAGAAACAAAACACAAAATCCCAAATACTCACTTTAAATACAGAAGGTAAGGTTACAGAAATCTCAGGGTGTTGGGTAAATGACCATATTTCATAAATGTGCTGTATTGAGTGCTTGGCTTTCTCACAGTTAACCTTTAAAGTAGAATAGAATATAGTGAAATAATGCATAGTAGAATGGATTTTTTTTAATATACTTCGATTTTTCTTCTGCCATCTGCCCACTAAAGCAAGACTAGTGCTCTTACTGAAGTATTTATAGATCTTTGCTTACTCGGAGTAATGCTGTGGAAAACACTAAAAAGTTCTGTATTCCTGAAATGCATTATTGCCCTAATAGTTACCTAATGCAGTGTATAAAAGGTGAATTATTTCTGTTGTATTGTGGACAAATACTACTAGAAATGAGAATTCACAAAATGTATGGTGCAGTATCTTGTCCAAAGCTATTATATAGTCTTTTCTGAAAATAGGAAATTTAAAGACAGAGACTTGAAAATTAAAGATGACACTGGTTTTCAAACTTCCACTTATCCACAACCCCTAAAACCAGCCCAAAGTGGTTCTGATTCCTGTCTGCTATGAGCAGAAATGTCAACAGAGAATAGTACTATTTGCTGCTTAAGCAGTGTGGTCATCTAGAGTAGCTCTTCTAGGGCTGTTGCAGCCTATGGAATGGGTGTGCAGTCTTCTAAAAGAAGTCTTCTGAAGACATTCCTCAGAGGAAGTGAGGAGCAGACTTTTCCCTTTAGGAGTGGTAGGGGAAGAGACCTAAATGTCACATAACCTACTCCCAGGAATGGCTTGGTGGTTAGTCTTTCTTGTAAACAGTTGTCCTTAAGACACCTCTCAATATTCATGGATTTTACTTTACTTAACTCCTTGCAGTATATAAGTTGACTGTTAGGACAGTCCTTTCTCCCTCGCTCAATGAGGGGAGTTAAGGAATTGCTGTGTAGTTAATTATTCTGATAGGATTAATCCTTATTTCTCTAATATAAGGACAAATAGCAAATTAAACAAGTACTGCAGGCATAGTTGCTGCATTATTTTTACTGTATTAATTTTTCATCAGTTTGAACAGTGCACACCAGCAGAAGCTTTACAGAATGTTAAATAAGGCAGCACACAATTCTAAATTCTTATATTTTGTTCTATATTCTGAGAGCTTAGCTCCCAATTAGAGCTCAGAATTTTAAATAATGGATAGGAATCCTTGAACTGCTTTTCTCCCTTATTTTCCTGCTATAAAATACCATCCTTCAACTAAGAGACTGCTGGAAAAGGGCATTAACTTAGTCCAGCTTCAGTACAGCTCTACAGGAGTGAATAGTTACTGATCTTGTTTCAAGAGGCAAATTTTTAGACTGATCAGATGTAGATAATTGATGGAGTTCTCGTGTATTTTACAGCTGTACTTGCAAGTGGTGTTTGAAGAAACAGACAAAGCTTGAAGGCTCTGCAGTTTTTAAAAACATCTTTCCACTATCTACAAACAGAGCATACCACAGCTGACAGAAAGGTGTACCGTGTGTTGTGCGGCAGGAAGGCTCATGTGACACAAAAGTCTGCAAAGCAAACTTGGTAATTTGGTGGGCAGTGTTAAGTCTCATACCTGTATGTGAACATTTTTCATTACCTATTTTTGTTTCTTTCACCTCTTGTTTAAAGCATTGCTATATACTGTAAATAATGTAACAGTAAATTTACAAAGCATGGTATACTTACGTATGCTGATAGAATGTTGCACTACAAGCAGTTTAATATTTTATTTTTTTATCATATAAACAAATTTAACAGAGGTAGGCTTTGTCATGTTTGTTTGTTGCACAATAGTTTATATTTCTGACCTGCATTATAAAACCACTGGCACTGTCAGTGAAGGGTTGTGGTTTTATTTTTTCCTACTTAGTTTGCCACATTCTAACAAGCTGTTGACATGACCGATTCTCAACATATGGTTAGGACCCATACTTATGTTTACTAATACGTCACATTGGAAAAGTAATTTTCATTGATGTTCACATATCCTATTTTATCACAGTTCTTAAATAACTCCTGAAGCTCTTTTATCAGATTTCAACAGTTCAGAAAAAATACTTGTCTTTCAAATGGCTGTTAACTGACTTGGGTTTATTTTTTCTCAGTCCTGATGTTTTGTATAGCACTGGCATCATGAAGGTGGAATGTATATGTGAACAGAACTGTGTGGTGTAATTCTAGGGCAAGGGCATGGGCTCATGGAGAATTATCACAGCAAGAGTTCTCCTAATCTCTTATCACAAACAGATCAATCAGCTGTGGAAGTATGATCTCTGTTGAAGCATACCTGGTGAGGTACAAACCGAACCCAAATGGGTTCTTCCAAAGTATCCTGAATGTATGAAATAAATTAGTATTTAAATTTCTTTTTCTTAAACATTCAGAAAGTACAATTAAGAACTTGAATTTTTAAATTAAGACTGGGAACTTGCAGTCTGTCTTGCTGGAGCTCTACCTTTGAATTCCATGTGAGTGCAGTGTATGTAATGCTGTCCACATTGCCCCTGACGGACTCAGGTGATGGGAGGAAAAAAACAAGTGTACTTACTTGAGTCATTCTTTCTTCCTGTGAAACTCAAGGGGAATTTCAGACTTGGTGCTGATATTTTTTTTGTTTCCCTATGTTAAAACACACAATTTGGACTTTCTTTCCTGCCCTCTTTCTATTGTGGGGAAGAGGCACAGGGCAAGAGATTAGGAATCCTGTCCTCCTTCCTCAGAGCGGGAGACAGAAGAGGAAGATACTTGCAGAGGGTCTGAGAGGGAGGACTGTGAACTGCAAGCATTGCATATCATTTTTACAGTGCTATGACAACTGATCAGGTAAGAGACCTGTGGCTTTTGTTTTGCCAGATAAGGAGCTGCAGAACTAAGCTAGTGTTTCTGGAAGTAGCTGAATTCAACCAGTGGAGGGGTGCAATTTCACTTGTGCTGATGAAAATCACTAGTGACATTTTTAGTTATACAAGTAGCTAAAAATGGGATGTCTCCTTGGAAGTGCAAATTAACAAAGTAATTTGATCAGAAACCCAGTATTGAAATTCCAAGGTCAAGCATGCTTTTTATTTTTTATAAAATCTTTTCTATTAAGGGTCACTTGTCAAATGCATGTTTAAAAACTAAACCAGTAAACTGAACTGATGCTGTGATTTAGAGGGCAGTTAAAGCACAAGAGCAAAGCAAGAATGCTACACAGAGGTATACTATCTTTCATGGAATTAGAATTGTGTTTAAAATGTCAGTATGAAGGAAATAGTTTTTGGTTCAAATGGATCTTATCTGAAATTATATACCTTAGGTCATCTCTGGATTAAAAGGAGTGGAATTTGCTTTGTACTTGAAAAGCCTAGGTTTAGTTTTAAAAAGGCTGTTGGGTGCAAAGACTTAAGTTATCTCTCTAAGTATCTCATTTAGGATTGGATTTGTTACATAACTGGTAACAGTTATTTCCAAGGAATGTTCTCATCCTGGTAAGAGCATAATGTGTTTTTGAATCAGCTTTACCCTGCATTTACCAGAACATCAAAGAACTCCAAAGAAACTTACTTGTCTTAATCCTCACTCAATCTATTTTGGCTTCCACTACTCAGAACTGGAATTACAAAAAGCAAGTCCTGGGAAGTACATGTTTGATGTAGTTGTCTCTTCCACCAGTCCAAATGGTATATTATTAGCTGAGATGTGTTGTGTTTCTGCCAGAGCTGACGAGGGGAGTGTGATGGTTCCAAAACCCCAAACCACTTCTGGAATGCTGGGAAAAGATGAGGTATGGGAGAACCTGTTCTCCCCTTACCACAATATAGTCAGGTTTTGTGGTAGACAGACAAAAGTGAAAGCTGAGCACTTTATCAGCTGGGACTGATAAAGAGCACAAGTAAAGCTGAAGGTGTCTCTCCTGTCACTGCTAGAATGGTTGAAGTGGCATGGGCTGTTGATCAAACTTTCCTTTGGAAGACTAGTGCTATTATGAGTTTTGATATTTTTTTTTACTATTTTTTACTGTATACACATTGACCAGGTTAATGTGTATGGTTTATAGTATTGCAACTAAAAAAACTTCAAAATAGCAGCTCCTGAGGGCAATACTATTGGAAGGAATAGCTCTCACCAGTGCAAGCTGTATTATTTACTATTTCTCCTCTGAGGGTTTTTTTTACTTCTAAAAATAAACATTATGCCAATAACAGCCCCTAGAGTAGATATCGAGCTTTAGCATTATAGTTCACACAGCAAACCAAACATAGCTCACCTAAACAGTAATAGGTTAAATTGTATATGTTTTTAGTGTAAAATTCTTACTTCAAAGCAAGATGGCTTGGAGTTTTTTAAATAATACTAGGTACATATATCCTAGGATTTATTGGTTGTGGAGCTTTAGCTGTTCAGACCTTTAAAAGATTTAAATACCATCTTAAAGGCTCTAGTCTTGTCTTTTAATCAGTCTGTTGGCCAACACTGTTTCATTTAATGCTTGTATCTAGCACCAAATAAAGAATCTTTCTTGATTTTCTAGGTGTCTTACAGCAAATTCTCTTTACTTGTAGAAGTTTTGCCTTCTAAGTGAAGCCTGTAACATGAGAGTTAGATGGTCTTAAAAACTTCTGCAAAAAAGACTTCTGCTTAATTCATTGCATAGTCAGTATGGGGCTAGGAAAGCAGCAGCAGCTAAAGGAGCCAGAGTGTGCCAATGTTATTTCCCAGGAAATTTCATTGCACTTGCTGGTGGCCCCTTTGCCTGTTGCATGCAAAGGCCCCAACCCTGCAACACTGCTGAGGAAAAATACATCACATCCCTTCTGTGTGACCTCAAGAGGTTATGGCTGCAAAGGTGCACTTACTTGCCTTATCTCCAAGATGCATCTGTCTTGATCTCTTGGAGGATGTAGCTTCAGAAGTTTAACACTTTAGAAAAGCTAAACAAGGGGAAAATACAGAATGTGTTTGCACTTACAACTTTTCCAGGCTATCAGGCAATTCACAGTTGACCCATCTCTTGTCCACTCTTTGTATTCAACTAGTTATCTTATGCCTGAAAAGTACACAGCTCCCAAAAGTCCTTAAAAAAACAAATGCTGTAAAAAAAGCCCGATTACTCTGCACAACTTGCTTGCATTATATTCTATATGCTGGAAGAATTAAGATTTTTAGTGTTTAAGAAATACAGTGTAAGTCTACAGAGTGTAAAAAAATGAGGTAGCTTTAATCATTTCCTTCATTTACTGTAGGACCAGCAGCATATAGAACTTCAGGGTAGCCATCCTTTAATAGCTAAACTTTTTCTATTTGCAAGATTATACTTGTTCTTACTGATGCAGCTTCCTGTTTTTCCCCCATGTTACTCTCTTCATACAAAGTTCTAAATTAAGATTCCCAAAGGCTTCAGCATGCATAGCACTTCAGACAGCTATTACATTTCAGACAGCTATTACATTTAAGCTCTGTTTTTCCCTTGTTAGTGGTAGAAAAAGCCAGTCAGCTTGGGAAAAGGTTTTAAGAACACAGGTGACAAGCTCAGTGCTCAGCTGGGCTTGCAGCTGTACTCTAACCCTTTACCCAACACCAGTCATTACAGAAGTCTGTCACTTACTTTCCAGAGGAGAGTATATGGGACAAGCAGAAGCCCCCATTTGCATGCAGACTAAAGCACCCTGTAGTGGAAAACCTGAGACCCCCAAAGGCCAGAGTACAAGCAGTCAAGGCACTTTGTCACTCACTTTATTCACATATACAAGTTGACACTACACTATTAAATATAGACAATACAGAAGCATTAAAAAGAAATACTGTTTAAAAACTTTAAAAAACACATATTGCTTCAAGCTTAGATGGTATTTCCCTATAGTTTTTAAAGTGAATTCAGTGCTAACAAAAGCTGAGGCAGCTTCCCATTCACTTGTACCCCTAATTTTATAGGGGCTACTGTCAAGGTGTTGAATCAGGCTCCACATATGGCTTTGCTGCTGAGTGCACTAACTGAGCTAGAAAATAAACTGGAACATCTAGGTTACCACACTTAAGGCCCTCAGATTGCTAGCTTTTGGTCCCTATCACAGTAAAAAGAAAAAAGTCAGAGGCGCCTTTATGAAGGCCTCTGAACTCAGTGGCACTGCATTATACCATAAAAAATATACTTCCCTACATGTTAAAAGTTTGATTAAAATGTACATTTGCTACCTGTATAAAATTCTTACCAAAATTCAGATCTGTCCCTCAGTTTTTTTTAAGTTTGGCTCTATGTTTAGCTATCACCTTGACTATCCCAGCTTCCAGTGAAAAAGTCTGTAATTCATAGTTGCAAAGATGTAAAAGCAGTGACTGAACAGGCATGCTACTATACTTTACAGGGACATTCTTATGCAGTTTTCATTGTAACATTTTGTATTGTAAACACTAGTCTTCACAACACTATAGTTAAATTGCAGCATTACACATTGTAGAAGTCTTGTTTTACTTTTAGCTAAGTACTTTCAGAAAGAAAAAGGAATAAACAGTTATCTTAACAAAGACTTTGGACAACTGAGTATTTACTGTGTTCATACAAACAGTGTTCATCACTTGACTGAATTCAAGAGTCCATGCAAGACAAAGTTCAGAACTTCCTTAATAGGGTGACAGGTTTCCCATTTTTTAGCAAGCCCTATTTGATGCAAAACAGCCACCTCCTGTAAGAATCTATGGAATATATTTAAGTTTTTACACTTGAAAAGTTCTGCTTTCCAAAACAATTGGCTTTTCATTTAACACCAAAACACTAAAGTAACAGTTTTCTAGGTTCAGCCTG